GAAAAAAGAAAAATTAATGAGAGAAAGTCTGTGAGGAGGGTCTGAGCAGAGACATAGGTGAAGCTGAGGGAATGAACCAAATTACTCGTACCACTTTATCTCACTTTGCTTTCTCATATGTGTTAAAATATATAGAAAATGTGGACTTCTGACATCTTTAACATTACGTAGAAAACACAGAGAAAGGACTCTGTTTTGTGATCAATCCTCAGGTGGTTTAGAGAGGTTCACTCTCGGAATTATGGCCAGTAGGTGGGGATCTGCCCTCAGCTCTCTGCCACGCTGGGTCCTTATTGGGTTCCCGGCTTTCCATTTGATCTACACCATGAACTCCATACCTATAAATGTTACCAGTTCCTTCTGAACTTTTCACCCCTTTACAAGAAGTTGAAGAAGAAGAGTAATTTTGTCTTGTGTTCCTTTATTCCTTGGCCATTTTGGTGCCTGCTGTGTTGACAAGTTTTAGACAACAGGGGCTGGACCAAGACCACAAATCTGTTCCTCACAGACTGCTGACTTATTAGCTGGTGGGTGCTGGCTCCCAGTACCTGCCTTTCTGCATTCTTCTAGGGTCGGAGTGAGGTCTCCTTAGAAGCACCTACGCTGACATCTCTCAAGTCATCCCAGTGCAGCGCTCACTGTGTGCCTACCAGGCAGGGGGCTACACAGCTGATGTGACCACTTTCTACTAAGTAAAGTCTTCTTAGGGACCTCAACCTGGACACACAGGTATGTTTATTAAGTTATAAAATCATAGAGACAAAAAGGAGTCTTGGAAATTAACCAGTTCAGCCTCCACATTTTACTGAGGACACCAAGATTCTAAGAGGTTTAAATTTACTGGAGGTCATTACTGCCCTCATTTCTTCTGTTGAAACAGGCTGCTCCCCATCTTATTCAGAAGTCTCGAATACGAAAACCATTTTAGTCCATTCCTCAACCAGGGCAAGGGCCATGCACGGAGCACTGGAAGACAGAGGCCGTTCACAGCAGTGCTGTGGACAGATGCTGCACGGGAACAAAACATTGGCCTTCGCTCTCTCCTTCTTTCTAATTTTAAAAAGCAGAGACTCTCTTTATTCAGTTCTTTTATCATATATAACTGGGGGTAGAACCAAAGGTTCCCACTTGGGCTGTGCTCTGGCTCGGAGCTCCGCCCTGCCTGCCTTAACGTGAGGGTAACTGGACCTGAAAGCGTGCTTACTTTCTCAAGAATAACACAATTTGGTTCTTTCCTTTTTCAAAAATGCTCAAAGAAGAAACTAAATGAATATACATT